TGGAAAGTTGAGCAAATAAGTTCATTTTACTGTTCAGATTATGACAGTATTTTTTTTTTTTTGAGACGGAGTTTTGCTCTTGTTACCCAGACTGGAGTGCAGTGGCACGATCTCGGCTCACCTCAACCTCCGCCTTCTGGGTTCAAGCAATTCTCCTGCCTCAGCCTCCCGAGTAGCTGGGACTACAGGTGCGCACCACCATGCCCAGCTAATTTTTGTATTTTTAGGAGAGGCAGGGTTTCACCTCATTGACCAGGATGGTCTCGATCTCTTGACCTCGTGATCCACCCGCCTTGGCCTCCCAAAGTGCTGGGATTATGCACCTGGCCATGACAGTATTTCTAACTTTGGCAATCTTTGATAACAACTGTAATTATCTTTCTATACCCCCTATTCCCATTTTTTTTTTCTGGAATTAAAAAGCAAAATATATTCTGCTTTTTGAATTTTGCATCGTTACTGCTGTTGCATTTCTTTGAAAACTTGGTGCTATCTCTGTAGTTTTAACATTTGAATACTGAAGATTGTATTGCCTCATCTTATTTAATGATCACACTAGTTTATTCCCTTTAAATAAGTATTTAAGTCAATGGCATCTATTACATTTGAGTGCTGAATCATTGTGGCTGTCACATGTCTTTGCTCTTGGGAAGCTCCCCACTGGGTTTGTAGTAGAAATAGAGAAAAAATCCATCTGCTTTTTCTTTCACCTCAGTTTTCTATACACCCTCTCATCCCTATAAAATAATTCTTCTCTGATTAGTCACCTTTTTCTCTTCTTTTTTTTTTTTTTTTTTTTTTTTTTTTTGAGACGGAGTTTCGCTCTTGTTACCCAGGCTGGAGTGCAATGGCGCAATCTCGGCTCACCGCAACCTCCGCCCCCTGGGTTCAGGTAATTCTCCTGCCTCAGCCTCCTGAGTAGCTGGGATTACAGGCACGCACCACCGTGCCCAGCTAATTTTTTGTAATTTTTAGTAGAGACGGGGTTTCACCATGTTGACCAGGATGGTCTCGATCTGTTGACCTCGTGATCCACCCGCCTTGGCCTCCCAAAGTGCTGGGATTACAGGCTTGAGCCACCGCGCCCGGCCCCTTTTTCTCTTCTTTAAGTTGATAGAGACGTAAACTTTTGGTGCCATACTGTCAAAATCAGAACACTGCCTGGTACATCTGTGTGGCTTAGGAAAAGGGGATGGGAGTGTTACAGCTCTCCTAAATTGGTCAGGCATACTTCAGCTTTATTCTAGGATAGCCTTTGAGACTACAGAATTGAATTCCCTTAGTAGGGAATCAAGTGTTAAAATGTATTCTAGGGACAGAGAGCTGACAGAGAAGTAGTCAGAGTGCATTATAAGAAGTGGAGGAGGCCGGTGGCTCACGCCTGTAATCCCAGCACTTTGGGAGGCCGAGGCGGGCGGATCACAAGGTCAAGAGATCAAGGCCATCCTGGCCAACATGGTGAAACCCTGTCTCTACTAAAAATGAAAAATTAGCTGAGCATGGTGGCGTGCACCTGTAGTCCCAGCTACTCGAGAGGCTGAGGCAGGAGAATTGCTTGAACTTGGGAGGTGAAGGTTTCAGTGAGCTGAGATTGTTCCACTGCACTCCAGCCTGGTGCCTGGCAACAGAGTAAGACTCTGTCTCAAAAAAAAAAAAAAAAAAGTGGAGGGTATTTATCAGACTTTACAGCAATGGGATTGTCAATATCCACTTAGCTTAGCTGGAGTCCATATTGTCAGTTCTTGGCTTCATGTAACTCAGTGGCCTTTATGGTGTTGGAAATGGGTAGGTGCACCCTCTTTCTTCAGATATATTGATATTGCCCTCGATGGTGGAAATTTATACCAAACCAGTTAAATTAGTTTACATTTGGCTGGGTACAGTGGCTCACATCTATAATCTCAGCACTTTGGGAGGCCTTTGAAACTCATTACTTTTTAATAATCCAACCTCAGGCGGGTGGATCACCAGAGGTCAGGAGTTCTAGACCAGCCTGACCAACATGGTGAAACCCTGTCTTTACTAAAAATATAAAAATTAGCTGGGCATGGTGGCACATGCCTGTAATCCGAGCTACTTGGGAGGCTGAGGCAGGAGGATCACTTGAGCCCGGGAGGCGGAAGTTTCAGTGAGCCGAGATTGTGCCATTGCACTCCAGCCTGGGTGACAGAGCGAGACTCTGTCTCAAAAAAAAAAAAAAAAAAAAGTTTGCATTTACATGTATTATTTATTACCTAAACTGTTTTCAAATAAGATATGACATGAAATTCATTTGTATAATTTTGTTTTTTATTTTTGTGGGTAAGACAGTTTTTTTGTCTTTGTTTGCCCAGTCTTTCCATTATCTTGCTTTTTGATAAAGTCATTAATAGAATGAACAGCTCTTTTTGGCGTGTAGAAGTGACTTAAGCTGTTTTTTTTTCCTTCTGCCCTTCAACAAAGGCAATTGACCCTGCAGGGAACTGAGCACTGGATTTAAAGCTATATGATGAAACCCCAGATAAACCTGATTGTTTTGCCACCTCCAACTTTTAGGAGAATGGGGGAAAAGTTATGCCAGTAAGTTACATCAGGTTTAATTAAAAAGTAATTTCCAGGCTGGGTGCAGTGGCTCACTCCTGTAGTCTCAGGATTTTGGGAGGCTGAGGCAAGTGGATTGCTTGAACCCAGGCGTTCAAGACCAGACTGGGCAACATAGCAAGACCCCGTCTTTAAAATAAAAAAAAAACCCTGTGATTTCCAGGATGTGGTCTGTGGTTGGTACACTTCCAGGTTAATCTCCAGCACTTTCTGTACCTTTGTACAGTGGACACTGACGATTGCAGTGATCCTTTGGTACTTCTTGCTCCTCAGAGGAGTATGAAACGTGTTAGTGCACTCTGTCGCTCAAGGAAGAAAGGTATACTAAGTTTTAAAATAATGTAAAATAATTTTCAGTAACAAAAGTTGGAATCAAACCAGTTTCTTGTTGACTTTCATTTAAGCAAAATTAAATTAGGACAGTTACCTTCCTTGGCATTTGATTTCATTGTGAATTCGTTGTCATTGAACAATCTCAAGGAGGAGATAGTTTTCAAAAGGGAAGAATCCTGGACACGTAGACACTTGAGGGTTGTGTTGTATAATGGGATATGACTATGTCCAGATGTTGTAGAGTTATTAGTGAAGTAGCAGAAGAGTCGTGAATTTATGTGAATTCAAAGTTTCTCAATTTTAGTGGAGTATGGAGGTTGAGATTTTAATTTGTAATCCTTTTTTTGTTGTTGTTGAGATGGAGTCTCGAGTCTTACTCTCTCGCCCAGGCTGGAGTGCAATGGTGTGGTCTCAGCTCACCGCAACCTCCACCTCCCTGGTTCAAGCGATTCTCCTGCCTCAGACTCCTGAGCAGCTGGGATTACAGGTGCATGCCACCACGCCTAGCTAATTTTCGTATTTTTTTGTAGAGATGGGGTTTCACCATGTTGGCCAGGCTGGTCTTGAACTCCTGACCTTGTGATCCACCTGCCTCGACCTCCCAAAGTGCTGAGATTACAGGAGTGAGCCACTGCACCCAGCCTTAATTTGTAATCTTAACAGTAGCATATTTACGAAGAGAGGGGTTTGGCCGGCAGACTCTAGAGCATAGACATTTTTCATATTGAAAGAAATAGGGTTAGTTTTCATACTTGATTTGCATAGTCTTGTTTTTACTGCGATCGGTGGAAATATGTTGTAAATCTCAAAAACTTTGCAAATATGTACGGCAAGCAGTGTGATTTATGGAAAGCTTACTCAAATTCATGAGACCTCTTTGTTTTTGTCTCATTTCTACAAATAACCTGAGTGATTTTTTTGAACAAATGCCAGAAGGTTAAGGTTCTCTGATCTGTCTAATCTGGAAGTTGATGTTTATGATCTGTTTGGGCTAGATGAGAGAATCTGGGCTTCTCAAATGTGTTGCTTAAACCACAGAATATTGTATCTATTCATGAGTACCCTACTCAGGTTTTCCCTCTTCATTTATGGTAGGGAAGCCCGGGAAAAACCCAAGTATTTTGCTAGGAGATGGTATTGGAGCTTGGGAGGAGGAAGAGACAGTGGTGAGGCTGCAGTTGCTAGGAGGCCAGCTTGGGCGGGAAGGGAGAACATGTCCTTGATCCTGACAGTATCCTGCCTTATTTTGCTGTGGGTTTAGGGCAGATGAGAAATGAATCCTCGACAGTGTACAGCAAGTGAGAAGAGGCAATTATCTCTTTATCTCTTCCCCTCTCTGAGAAGAGGTAGCAGGGCTCTTTGGAGAGAGCAGGGGCCTCTGCTGGGCTCTGGCTAAGGCAATGAGGTGATCCCTTTAGGGGAAAAAATGAAAATTGATTTCAGTAGGAAGGATGCATCTTCTGATTTGAGTGAAAATATGAGGACATTTTGTTGATAATTTTCTTGGTTTCTGAATACAGCTAGGGGAAATGTCGAATACTCATATTTTATTGCTTTCTCCAATTTGGTAAAAAGAGCAAGAAAACAAGGTGGGTGATGTTGGGGAGGATCCCCCTCCTCCCGCTCCATGTCCTTTTATAGTGGATATTAGGACTGCAGTAAACACCTGTTAATCTCCTGGTTCCCTGGGGCATTTGCTGACTGGTCAAATCATTTCACCTCTTCCCTGTGTCTCCTCGGGCATCCGTCTGAGAATGTGGTGCTCGGTGGGGTTTAGAGAGGCGCCGCTTCCTTCTGCAGCCTTTATGGACACTCTCAGGACCCACTGTAGGAGGAACGCTGGCTGGTTAGCTTCCTTCACTTCTGTCTTAGTTCCTCTTCCAAAACTCTATGAAATTTTGTGTTTCAGATTTTTTTTAAAAGTTAGTCTTTCTGATTAATAATAGATCAAAAATAAATCTTAAGCTAAAATGTTTTAATGTTTTATAAGGAAAAAGTATTACTAAGAATGTTTAGTCAGCCATATAGAAATATTTAGTCTTATGTGATTTTACATAAAGTTTCAGTTTATTCTCTGGTTTCAATAGAACAAGTTGAAATCATCGCAGAAGGATAAAGTTCGTCAGTTTATGATCTTCACACAGTCTAGTGAAAAAACAGCAGTAAGTTGTCTCTCTCAAAATGACTGGAAGTTAGATGTCGCAACAGATAATTTTTTCCAAAACCCTGAACTTTATATACGAGAGAGTGTAAAAGGATCATTGGACAGGAAGAAGTTAGAACAACTGTACAATAGATACAAAGGTGAGTGCTTGCTTGTGACTTTAAATAAAATTTGGACCAGATTTTTCCAAATTACCTGCTTGTGAGATATCAAATACTATATGTAACATAAATTGGGTATATGTATCCAATAGAGGTCTGTAGATCTTAGAGTTATTTCAAGAGGTCTGAGGAGAAATTATTTTCTTTTCACTGAGATTTCTTCTTGGCCTTTTTATTTTCCTTCCCTCCTTTTTTTTCTCCCCCAATGTCCAAGTTGAGAATGGGGATGGGCAACTGTTTTTTCTCCCCTCATATACATAAAACACAGCTGAACCAGCCTTTAAGAAAACCTGCATACTAAATCTTTAAAGAATTAGAAAATAATGCATACTTTTTAAAAAGTTCAACTGCATAACAGGTGAATAAGAAAAGGTTAATAGTTTCTCTGTCTTTTCCTTATTTATTCTCCTAAGTAACCACTAATAGCCTGGTGTGGATTCTTCCATATCTTCTATGTTTATGCAGAAATATATTTACTGAGTTGGTTTCAACGTTTTTCTGAAAATGGGATATTTTATGCATAACTTGTGCTCCAGAGTCAAATGACGTGCATGTTCTTATTGCTGGAGATATTGCCAGATTACTTTTAGAAATATGTTAGCAAATCAGATTTGATAGGAGTGCACAGGTGCTTCTTTCTGTTTGTTTCTGTTATTTAAATTTTTTGCCTGTCAAGTAAATATTGATTTTTTTTCTTCAAACAACAGATATTTACATTGTTGAGATTAGGACTGAATTGCATATTTTAGTTTATAATTTTCCTGATACTCTTAAGAAGTGGTTGTTGTGGTAAAATGAACTTTGTTCTAAGAAAAAAAGAATTTCTGTTCTGAACACCTACTTAAGCAAAATATGGATGTATTAGAATCCCATGTGTCTATATGCGAATGTCTGATTTTTTGAATGTGTCTAAGTATGGGACATATTTCACATGAATAAATGAGACTTTAAAAATCATGTATCCATCTGCACATATCTTTTGTACACTTTAAGAATGATGTTAGAGGCCAGGCGCGGTGGCTCACGCCTATAATCCCAGCACTTTGGGAGGCCGAGGCGGGTGGATCATGAGGTCAAGAGATCGAGGCCATCCTGGTCAACAAGGTGAAACCCTGTCTCTACTAAAAATACAAAAATTAGCTGGGCATGGTGGTGTGCGCCTGTAGTCCCAGCTACTCAGGAGGCTGAGGTAGGAGAATTGCTTGAACCCAGGAGGCGGAGGTTGTGGTGAGCCAAGATCGTGTCATTGCACTCCAGTCTGGGTAAGAACAGCGAAACTCCGTCTCAAAAAAAAAGAATGCTGTTAGAGAGGAAAGCCGCTTTAAATAATGGGCAAGGATATGTTGTTAGAGTAATATTGTTCCATGTCTTCCGTATATTGTGGTCATTATGAAGCATTACCTTTTTCAGTTTTGGTAATGTAGCATAATATAACACTACTTTAATATCGAGTTGTTATTTTTAAAGATCCTCAAGATGAGAATAAAATTGGAATAGATGGTATACAGCAGTTCTGTGATGACCTGGCACTCGATCCAGCCAGCATTAGTGTGTTGATTATTGCATGGAAGTTCAGAGCAGCCACACAGTGTGAGTTCTCCAAACAGGAGTTCATGGACGGCATGACAGAATTAGGGTGAGTATGTAATTACAGTAGGAAAGTAGGTATGTAACTGTGGAACTGAATTATGTCATGATTTTTTATAAAAATGTTTCATAAAATGTAAATTTAAAGATTTACTGGCCAACAAACATTGCTATACACAGAAGTGTGTGAACTTGCTAGTTTCCATGTTACACGGTTTTCTGGGCTTGTCAAGTTATTTGTATAGTTAGTACAGCCTGTTCTTTTTGGATATATTCTTCTCATTTACTTCTAAGGCAGGTTCATTAGTATTAAAATTATGTATAATATTTAACATGGGAAAGTGAAAGGACCAAGTTTTAAAGTTATTTCCGGCCTGGCGCGGTGGCTCACGCCTGTAATCCCAGCACTTTGGGAGGCCGAGGCGGGTGGATCAGAAGGTAAAGAGATCAAGACCATCCTGGCCAACATGGGGAAACCCCGTCTCTACTAAAAATAAAATTAGCTGGGCATGGTGGTGCGTGCCTGTAATCCCAGCTAACTCAGGAGGCTGAGGCAGGAGAATTGCTTGAAGCCGGAAAACGGAAGTTGCAGTGAGCCAGGATTGCGCCACTGCACTCCAGCCTGGCGATAGAGAGAGACTCTGTCTCTAAAAAATAAATAAATAATAAGGTCGGGCGCCTGGCTCAAGCCTGTAATCCCAGCATTTTGGGAGGCCGAGGCGGGTGGATCACGAGGTCAACAGATCGAGACCATCCTGGTCAACATGGTGAAAACTCGTCTCCACTAAAAATACAAAAAATTAGCTGGGCATGGTGGCGCATGCCTGTAATCCCAGTTACTCAGGAGGCTGAGGCAGGAGAATTGCCTGAACCCAGGAGGCGGAGGTTGCAGTGAGCCGAGATCGCGCTGTTGCACTCCAGCCTGGGTAACAAGAGCGAAACTCCGTCTCAAAAAAAAAAAAAAAAAAAAAAAAAGTTATTTCCTAACGTGAGACTGTGAACCCTGCATTTATAACATCCTAGAATTTAAAAACTGGAAGATACTTTAGAAGTTACTGCTTGTTTCACTTAACACTTTGACAGCCGATTAGCTGAATGTCTTTGGAGAAATTGATTGAAAAGTCATGGGTAGGGGTTTTACTGTGACCTCTAGTTGTTCATTTTTAATGAGGTTGCAGACAGAAGTAATCAGTCTGTTGGTAGGTAGCTGCCCTCTGTTTTTAGTTGGCCACTATTGAGTAATAATAGCTAACATTTATTGAACACTATTTCAGTTAGCTGTGCCAAGTACTTCACCTGCCTCTTCACAGCAACTTTTTGAGAGTAGTCTTTCTATCCCCCTTTTAGAGATGAAGAAACTGAGGTACAGAGAAAATATAGAATTAATTAGGGAGTATTAGAGTCATCATTTGAACCTGAGAGACATTGCAATCAGTCAGAGTCCAGCCAAGATACAAAACCCACACCAATAATTTTAACAGGGAAAACTTAAAGAATTGCTCTACTCCGTCAGAGGGATAAAAGGAAACTCTACGATGTAACATTTATCAGTTTGCAGCAAGCTGCTACCACCTCTGGGAAGTGAGGGAAGTGAACAGACAAGGAAGAAATTGAGAAGCTTAGGAGATCCCCCACAAGGCTGAGATTCAGACCTGGGGGCTGGGGGAGAGGGTTGGCCACCTGTGATGCTGGTGAAAAAACTGCCTGGAGGCTGCGTGCTGTGAGATTGCTACCACTGGTGGATACTGCTGGGATCTTCCCACACACTAAACAGCAAACTGGGATGAGAAAAGTTCCTTCTTCCTCTTCCAGCCTAACACTGAGCCAGCTGGCAAGAAAAATGAAGTCTCACAGTTTGTAGTCCAGTATCACAAAGTAGGGCAAAGAAGGGCAGGTTTAAAGCAGTAAATTTACTGGCCTGGACACTATGTCCTTCACCAAAGCCAGGCCCATCCTGAACTTGCCAGGATTTTCTGTGCTAGGACAGGTTTTACCAGAACTTATGGAAGCAATGGTTTTAAAAATTTTAAACTGAATTCACATAATGTGTAATGAACTTTCAAATCAAAATTTTCATTTACAAACTAATGGTCTGGAGGGTGTTACAAAGAATGTAGAAGGAAAAATAAAAGCAGAAAATGATTAGAAGGAAAAAAATGGGTTTGTTCGTGGAATCTATAAGAAATAGGGTATTTCTACCATAAGGCTGTATGAGGAAAGTAAGGCTTGGTACTTAGAGCTTTTCAAACTCTTTGAAAGTTGAATGTTTTGCACATATAGAAAAGGCTTAATATTAATCGGAGATAATTCAGTTGGAGGTGGTAGGAAGTTCACCTATTTACTACTATACTTTGTATATAACAAGAAGCAGGTTTTCAAAAGGAATGTTTCCTCGTAAGCAGGAGACCATGCTTTAGTTAATTTAGATAGTAGACATGATTAATACCATGTCAGTAGTGTCTAATACAGTTTAAAATGACTGTTCTGCTGATTACTATGCATTCTTATTTACCCTCTGAAGCTGACTTCTACTAGGGAATGTGTTGATAGTCTAGTGAATTATGTAGTTAAAATGGATAGCTCATTTCTTTTCAGTCATTATTTAGAACATTTAATCCCTCCAAACCTATTCTTCCTGCAGCTAACGTCCATGCTTGTTTATATTTATGTAATATAGAAAGATTGAATTCCAACTATTTGATTTTTAAGAAAGAAGTTCTAGGAAATAAATGTAACCCTTCATGGGAATAAATAAGTTACTAATTTATAGTGAAAAAGTTAATCTTTTATAAACTTAATTTTATAATGTAGATGTGACAGCATAGAAAAACTAAAGGCCCAGATACCCAAGATGGAACAAGAACTGAAAGAACCAGCACGATTTAAGGATTTTTACCAGTTTACTTTTAATTTTGCAAAGAATCCAGGACAAAAAGGATTAGGTAAGAATTTTTTAAAATTATATTTGATGTTTCAGATATATTCAAATACATTGACAGTGTCATTTTTGTAATATAAAGTTATGTGTTTTGAGCATAAAGTCATGAAAATACCAATTATTGAAAAAAGAAAAAGGTAACTTTTAATCAGAAAATACCATGCACATTGAATAATAAGTGTACCCTTGGTACCGTATTTACCCTTGTACCCGTGAACCACTGATTTTTGTTTTATAAAAACTACAGTCAGTATAGAAGATAGTTGTTAAAATTCCACTGACGTTTATTTATGCATTCATTCATTCATTCATGATCCCAAAGATATTTTAGGATCTTAGCATTTATAGAAATAGCATTATAAGATTTCTAAGTCATAGAATTGCCAGATATATTTATTCTTTTTTGTTATAATTGATTTGAAAACTATAAGGATGAAAAGGAAATGCTTATCATTCATAATCTGATTATCCAGAAATAACCACTGTACCAGTTTAGATCAATCCACTTATATTTGTACATTTGCTTTTGGGGATGGTGAAGGGACATGAGAGTAAAAGATATGGTATAATTTAGATACAGTGTAATTTGCAAATTACCTAAAAAGATTAGACAGTGCTAGTAGATAATTACAAAATAATAAAACCATTAGGGGTTTTAGAGAAAAGGAGAAATGACTAAAAGCCGGAGTGATTGGGAAATGCTTCCTGGACAAGGTGGGATATGAACTAAAGGATTTGGTACTTGGCTGGACAAGGGAAGATAAAAGATATTCCAATGAGAAGGTAGTTATGAATGAAGGTCTAAAACTTAAGCAATAAGCTTGACTTTGTGCAAGAGAGAAGTTGTTGGTTTGATTTTAGTGGGAATGCTCGTTTGGAGATTATAAATTGGTGAGACACAAGAAGGCTTAATAACCACAGACTTCTTTTGAAATCAGAAAGGGTTTTGTTTTGTTTTTGGAGACTGAGAGGTTTAACGTGGAATTTGTGGGAAATGGGGACCCAGTGAAGATTGTGACGATGGTGGTGACTTCCATTTAATGTGAGCTTTTAGTGTGCCTGGCGCCGTGCTAACTACTGTACTGTACATATACTGCTTGTCTTGTCTGTATGTAAGTCCATTTCATGTTGCTATAACAGGATACCTGGGTAACGTATAAAGAGATTTGTTTAGCTCATGGTTCTGCAGGCTAGGAAGTTTAAGGGCATGGCCCTGGCTTCTGCAGAATGCTTTTATGCTGCACCATAACATGGCAGAGAATGACAAAGGGGAGGTCTGTGAAGAGAGAACAAACAGGAGGAGAAGCCTCACTTCACAGTAACATACTCCAGAAACTAATCTGCTCCCTCTGTCAAGAACTCACATTTGCAAAAGGAGACTAGCACCAAGCCATTTTTGAGGAGTACACCCCCACGATTGAAACCCGATCCACCAGGCCCCACCTTACAGCACCACCACAGGGGATGAAATTTTCGTATGAGTGTTGGTGGGAACAAACCAGCCATATCCAGACCATTGCACTGCCTTGTGAGTTTTACCGATTTTTTTGAGTTATTCATTCTTTCGTTCAGTAATTTACCACCTGCTGTGTGCTGTGCCAAATACACAGTCATACGGTGCTAGCTGTTGATCATCCTTAATTTGAAGATGAGGAAACTTAGGCCCAGGAAGCTTAAGTAACTTGCCCAGTAAAAGGTAGTGAGGTTTTTTTGGGGTTTTTGAAGCTAGAGTAGTTGAAAACGCTCACCAGGGGCCTTTTGCACTAATTCCTCTTTATTTTTTAAATTAGGCAGGGGGAAGTGTTGAGAAGCAGGTTATGTGAATAGGGATTAGACCCAGGAAGTGATGGAAAGCTGGAGAGGAAGGGATAAGTGTATAACATTTCTAACGCAGTGTGGCCCCATGAGTTACTAAGCATGACTGAGTTGATTAGAGTCATAAAATGTTTGTAAAGCAAAATTCTCAATAACAAAGCCTCCTTGCCAGCCTGATTGTTCAATATCGATTGGATTTTATTCTTAAAGGAAAAATCCTTGTTTTGCAAGCAGAATAAGCTGGGATACCTACAGTTAATTTCTCTGTCTGGGGCCACCAGTTAACTGGGATGTTTTCTCTCTTTTTCTCTTTCCTTTCCACAAATAATCTGTATTATAATAATTATTTTGTCATATTTAGAAATGTACAGTATTGTAATATGATTAAATTTAATGTGAATGTCACATGTTGATAGGGACTTAGCCTGTTTTTTAGTTAAATCTCCATCCTTTATTGGAGCATAAAATAAATGCTGTTTTAGGTAAATATGTAGTTTTGATACTGAATCTTAGTTCTTATTATATGTGGTAAAAATTGAGCAAAATTAAATTTTTATAGCTATTGGATATATTAATACGGTAAATTGGAATTTTAGTTACGGGAAAAATGGAGAAACATTAAAGCATTATATTTAAAAATTATGTTTATTGTTATCTAGTAAGTATTGATCTTAAGAAAAAATGTTTTTTTTGTTTTTGTTTTTGAGATGGAGTTTCGCTCTTGTTACCCAGCCTGGAGTGCAATGGTGCAATCTCAGCTCACCGCAACCTCCGCCTCCTGGGTTCAGGCAAGTCTCCTGCCTCAGCCTCCTGAGTAGCTGGGATTACAGGCACGCGCCACCATGCCCAGCTAATTTTTTGTATTTTTAGTGGAGACGGGGTTTCACCATGTTGACCAGGATGGCCTTGATCTTTTGACCTTGTGATCCACCTGCCTCGGCCTCCCAAAGTGCTGGGATTACAGGCGTGAGCCACCGCACCTGGCCGAAAAAATGTAATATTTAATGGATGTAGAGTTTTTGTTTTGTGAGGTGAGCATTCTGAAGGTCGATTGCACAACAATGTGGATATACTTCACACTGCTGCACTGCACACTTCAAAACGTCAAGATGATAAACTTTATTATGTGTATTTAACTACAATGAAAATATTATTTAAGACCCCCTGCCACAACCATACAGTGTATAATACAAAGAATAAACTCTAATGTGGAATATGGACTTTAGTCAATAATAATGTATTCATATTGTTTCATCAATTATAAAAACTCTACCACACTAAAGCTAGATGTTAAAAATAGTAGGAACTGACTGGGGAGGAGAGAGGGAATATGGAAATCTCTACTTTCTGCTCAACTTTTTCATAAATCTAAAAACTAAAAAAGTCTATTAATTAAAAAAAAAAGTTGAGTAAGAGACAAATCACACTTTGTTTTGTTTTGCTTTGGTGTTAGGTATCAGGAAGTGTCATGACTTGCTTATTTGTAGAGTTTAATTAAAAAGAAAACAGTTTTTTTTTAATAGCCTTTCTAAGAGTTCACAGGGCTCTTAAATTACAAGACTTGGCAGAGAGGAATTAGAAGATCATAGGAGAAGAGGTAAGACGCCCAGAACAAATTGGCAGAGAGCGACAGCGACAGCACTGCGGTTTGTTTATAAATAGCTGTGCTAATTAAAATGAGAACTGGTGTTTTCCATGTTTTTTGTTTTTCTGTTTTGTTTTTTGATGCAGGTCTTGCTCTGTTGCTCAGGCTGGAATGCAGTGGTACGATGCTGGCTCACTGCAGACTTGACCTCCTGGGCTGAAGTGATCCTCCTGCCTCAGCCTCCCGAGTAGCTGGAACTATATAGGCAAGCCCCATCATGCCAGGCTAATTATTTTATTTCTTGTGGAGATGGGACTTGCTGTATTGCCCGGGCTGGTATTTTTTCACTTTCTATAACCTTATTTCTTAGAGGGTGCTTCCTCTATTGCCATCTGCTTTAGTAATCTGACTTAATTTTTTTAAAAATTTGTTTTAGATATAGGATCTGGCTCTCTTGCCTAGGCTGGGGTGTAGTGGTATGATCGTTGCTCACTGCAGCCTCAGACTCCTAGGCTCAAGTGATCCTCCTGCCTTTGCCTCTGGAGTAGCCAGGACTACGGGCGTGTGCCACCATGCCTGGCTAAGTTTTAAATTTTTTGTAGAGATAAGGACTCACTGTGTTGTCCAGGCTGGCCTCAAAACTCTTGGCCTCAAGTGATCACCCTGCCTTGGCCTCCCAAAGTCTTGGGATTACAGGCATGAGCTACTGCACCCAGCCTATTTCTGATAATTGCCTGAATCTTAAATTTGAAAGGGATTTCGTAAGTCCTCTATAAAATTTAACCTACCCAAAGTAGCATCCTGACTTGATGCTCATTCAGCTTCTCCCTTTGAGCATGCAGCGACTGGACACACATTGTTTTGGGAAGTGGCCCATTCCTATCACAGAGCAGCCTTGTTACGCCACAGTTCCTCCTTACTAAGCTAATACTTTTGTCTTAGTACTTCCACCATTATTCTTACACGTCTTCCAGTGCAACATAGACAAAGGCTAAAACGAAAGATCCACTAGCAGTTACCCTTTGTTTTTTTCCAGGCCAGCATTCTGGTTATTTTAACTATTCTTTTTACAGGAGACATTTTTTTATTCCCGCCACTCTTCCCTCAAACACATTTCCAATTTCTTTCAAAATAGAGCCCATAAAGTTGAACATTGTATTTCAAAAGGAGGCTATTTAATGTAGAATACCATGGATCTGTTATTTTTTGTGAGACTATTCATTCTGTTAATTTGATCAAAGATTATTTATGTTCTTTAGCAGCCATACCATTTTTAGGGCCATACTGAACCTTTTTTTTGTTTTTTTTTTTTTTGAGACACAGTTTTGTTCTTGTTGCTGAGGCTGGAGTGCAATAGCGTGATCTCAGCTCACCACAATCTCTGCCTCCCAGATTCAAGTGATTCCCCTGCCTCAGCCTCCCGAGTGGCTGGGACTACAGGCATGCGCCACCATGCCTGGTTAATTTTGTATTTTTAGTAGAGATGGAGTGTCTCCATGTTGGTCAGGCTGGTCTCGAATTCCTGACCTCAGGTGATCTGCCCGTCTTGGCCCCCAAAGTGCTGGGATTACAGGCATGAGCCAATATTGAACATTCATTAGACT